GTGCTGAAAGGAGGGCTTGATAGACAAGTACAGGTCCAGGTGGGCAGTGGGTGTGCACATGGGGACCCAGCTGGCTCTTCCTTGCATGGGGAGCCCTTCCCTCACGGAACCCACTGTAGTGAGTCTATGGCACCATTGGTGGGACAAGCAGCACCCCTGGAATCAAATCCAATAAGGGGGTAGTGTGGATCCACCAAGACGTTTCCAAGAAGCAAGCGGGTTCCCACACAAAGCCCCCCTGGTGTAGCGCACACTAATAGGAGAAGGTGGGTCTGTCATTTGAGACACTCTGGAGGCTCGTGGTCTTTGTAGGCGGAGTGATGCCGTGGGCCTCGGCCTTCATTGAGGTGAGCATGGGGTGTGGATCGGCCTATGCGCCCGTGCCAGTCCAAGAAGGGACCCTTTGATGGGGCGTCTCTGTCTGTGGCGAGTTGTCCTCACCGTTCTTGGAGGTCCGAAGCAGGGACGTTCTCGCAACTGGCACACGGCGATGAGACACGAGGTGTCCTCAGGACCGTGAGGTCCGGGAACGGAGAGGGTCCATCCCAGCGCTCCCGCCCCTCTGACCGTCCCAGGCTCCGCGGGCACTCCCGAGAGACCCCGCCCCCAGACCCGCCCCGCGCTGTCCCGTCCCAGCTATTTTTAGAGTGCGCTGTCAGGTTGTTCCCCACTGTCCCCGCGGTCCCCAGCATGGCGTGCGCGACGAGTTCTGAGCTGCGGCGGCTGCTGGCCATCTACACAGGCGGCACCATCGGCATGCGGAGCGACAGCAATGGTGAGTTGGGGGTGCGCCGAGCCCCCACTATGACACGGTGCCCCGTCCTGCCCTCTGCCCTTTCCCAAACTTCCCGTCCCCAGTAAGTGGAGCGAGGGGACCGGCAATGGTGAGCCCACCCTGTCCCAGCCTCCAGGGCTGCCTTCGCTCCCAGTACTTAACCTTGCCTCGCAGGTGGCACAGTGTGATAGGGGCTGGGAGGGATCCCCAGAGTATCTGTGGGTGCCGCTTTCCCTTGGCACACAGTCATGGGTGTGAAGTTGTTCGTGACAGCCCTCACTTGGGGTGATTGGGAGGCTGTGACTTGACCCCAGCCTGACTCACTTCTGGAGTTTACTCTGTTCCAAATCCGCTGTGGCACTGTGGAGAGATTTGGTCCCTTTTTTTTTTTTTGGTCTCAGTTTCTGTCCCAGAGGCAGGGGTTGATGAGTTGCAGCCTTGTTTTTTCTGATCTTCAGGCCTTGGCTGAACTCAGAAACAGAGGAGCTGTGCCCCCCATGGGGAAGAATGGGGGCTGCTCAGGGAAGCGATGGGCTCTGGGCACCTTCAGCCAGCAGGGACTCCACTTTGGGCTCTTGGGGAGGGGTGGGGTCAACTATGGTGGCTTTGTTTTCTGGTGATGCTGTACCAAAGTTACCTAAAGGGGGTAACTTTAAAGAACAGAAATAAATTTTCTCACAGTTCCAAACCAAAACCAAATCTCCTGCCATCAAGTCTATTCCAATTCATGGGACCCTGTAGGACAGGGAAGCAGAGGAAGACCCCCAAAGAGACAGATTGGCACAGTGGCAGCAGCAATGGGCTCAAGCGTAGTGGCGATGGTGAGGTTGGCACAGAACTGGGCAGTGTTTCATTCTCTTGTGCAGAGGGTCACTATGAGTCAGTAAGGACTCAAGGGGAGCTAATGACAAAAATGAAAGAGTAAGAGTGTCCCATAGGGTTTCCAAGGCTATCAAACATTGTGGCAGCTCACTGCCATGTTTCTTCCATGAAGGGGTTGGTGGGTTCAAACTGCTGACCTTTTGGTTAGCAGCCAAGCACTTAAATCACTGCTCAGTCAAGGCTCCCAGTTCAGGAGTGAAAGGGAAGACAACCCGGCGCCGCTCATCAACCACACCGCACACCAGAAGGTCCATCTAGAGACTTTTATTCAGGGTGAGGAAGAGGAAGGTAACCTCCGCCGGAGAGAGAAGGCAGAAGGCAGAAAGAAGAGAGAGGTCAATGGGAAGGGAGTGGTCTTATATAGGGTCAACAGGAAGGGAGTGGTCATTGCTGGGGTGATTTAGCTCTGGCTTATCAAAAGCCATGGTGCCCTTTAAACCACATGCCTTGTAGCTTATGGCAGGGAAACAGAAACCTAAGATTACAAAATGGAGTTGAAGGGAGGGGAGAGGGAAGAACCAAGAAGGTACAGCCTAAAATGGCGGACCTGATATTGTAACATGGAGGCCAGAAGTCAGCATTCAGGGCCCAGTACTGGGGGTGAGGGTGGGGGACTCTTTCTTTGGGGAAGGGTCTTGTTTCAGTTTCTCTAGCATTCTTCTCAGCCTCCCTGGAATTGAACTCACACCTAGGGCTCACCTTGGCATCTAGCTTTTCCCCATTTGTACTTCAAGGTGCCCTGGTTAAAGTGTTCAGCTGCTATCCAAAAAGTCGGCGGTTCAAACCCACCAGCCCCTGTATGAGAGAAGGATGTGGCATTCTGCTTGAGAATCCTACGGGGCAATTCTGCCCTGTCCTATGGGTCCATATGATGTGGAATGGACCCAACAGTAGTGGACTTTTGGGGCTTTGTGCCTCATCTCTTTTTACAACTCAGAAGCGATTACTCTAAGACAAACAAACCCTGCATGGATAGGGCTCATGAACATAGCATCATCGTATTCCTAAGAGAGATTACATCCAAAGATGCTATTGTTCTGAGGCCTCAAATTCATCCCAACTTATAACTCATAGCAACCTCAAGTGGTTGAGCCACCCCATAGGGTTTCCTGGGCTGTAATCTTTGTACAATCCTAACTAACAACATCATGATAAAAGGAAAAACCATGGAAAATCTTGAAGGTGTCAAGCACCTCATTTTACTCACATGCACAGTCAATGTTTATGGAAGCAGCTGTCATCTCGGCTGCAAAGGACCTCTTTAAAATCTAAAACGCAAAGATGTATGGAGAGGAATCTTTAAAAAAAAAACACGGAGGGACTGGCAAATCTGAATTGGGTGACTTCAAATTTAAAAGCTCATTACGAAGTGTAAACTAAGATCACCATTTCCACTTTCTAAAGAAACCACCCAGCCTTTTTGTCAGTCTTGTTGCTTGAACCACAAGAAGGCCGAAGTCCGGGTCTAATCCAGATAAAGGATTGCTTGGTGCTGGCCTGTTCAGAATATTAGTGCAACTGGTTCCAGGGTGGGAAACAGAACTGATGATGTTAAATATCATTAGAACCTGTGAGCAGTTTCACTGCTAAGATGGATATATACCCAGTCTTAGTTCACATCCGGACTCCCCAATTAAACTTTCACTTTACAGTTTTTGTTAACTACCTGTTGAGTGGGTTCCAGCTCATAGCGACCCTGTATAGGGTTTCTGAACAGTGGCTGGTGGATTTGAACTGCTGGCCTCGAGGTTAGCAGTCCGGTGTTTACCCGACAGTGCCACACCAGGACTCTGTGTTTCTATTGTTGTTGTTGTTATGTGCCATGGAGTCAATTCCAACCCATAGCGACCTTGTACAGGGTTTCCGAGGCTACAAATATTTATGGGAGCAGAAAGCCTCATCTTTCTCCCATGGAGCGGCTGGTAGTTTCGAACTTCACAGCCTGATTTGTAACCACTATGGGAGGCCTTGTTTGACTAAAGATTGAGGCATAGATATGAGTTCAGTTCTAGGCTGAAGCTTGTCTGAGGGCTCCTACCAGACCACTAGGGCTGGGTCTTTTTTTGTTTTTGTTATATTTTATTTTGAGTTCTTCACTTTTCCCTCCCACTCTCTTCAGGACCACCTCATTCTGTTCCCTTTCCGAGTGGTCAGCAGCAGTGGCTGGACACCACCTAATTCTCCTGGTCTCAGGGTCTTGTGCTAACTTCAAGCAGAGTGTCGGTGTTGTGTTTTCACTCATACATTCTTGGAAACGACAAAGGAATCTCAAAAGGACCCACTACCTGTGCAGTACCTGGGGCAGCAGGAACACAGAGACTGACACCTACCTAGACCCTACCTAGACCTGGGGCGTCTCCCTGAGCTGAGTCCCTGCTTTCTTGGCACGGTGGTTTTGTTTTCCTCTAATTCCTTTGGTTTCACGTACCTTAGGGTCATTGCTTAACCACCTCAAAACCAACAGAGTGAAATGAGCTGATTTGACAAGCTGAGAGCCCAGCTGCCCAAGTTAACCTGGTTCGGCCTCTAGAAACTGGAATCATGCCAAAACTAAGGCTGCTGGCATGTTGAATGAATAGCTAATTCTTGAGATTTTTTGATTTCCTAGGTTACTTCTGTGCAG